TATTCGTATAATTAAATTCTTGTGCTTCACGATGTAAACAAGTAAATATATGGCTAATTGCTGATAATATTCGTCCCCGGTTAGCCAAATACAAACAAGGAAACAAATAGAGATAGAATGTACGAGATGTATCCACCATATTTCGTTTAAGGTGATCAAAGATTGGTAGTAAATTTTTCCACAATTATATAAGTAAGCCTTAAGTTTCTATTAAATTTCATATAACCTTGCCTCCAAATAGGTATTATCATCCAGGGCGGACTGCAATTTTGACATCGCCTAGGTCACATCAGCATTCGAAACCTAGTAGTACAAAATCTAATCTCGACACTAACGACTGAGCCACTACCACGAGTGCCCGAGAATCACAGGACAAATGTAAATTGTAAGGAAGGTCAGGCGTATTCCCATATTAAATTTTGTGGAGGGATTGTAGATGGGATAAAGTTGCATTTGCTAGAGTAACCGACTACATTATTTACAAACGAAAAATATTAGAATGGTTTCGTAAGGGTAAGGTAGTTTGGGGCAGATATATAGAATATAGAGAAGGGACAATAGGCAAAATATGTTAACACAATGAGAAATCAGTGCTTTATTCTTGAATAGCAAACAGGAAATTAGTTTTATATGTTGGCTAAGATACTCAACAAAATATGTGGAAGAAATAATAAATAAAGCTCAATAGTGAGTCTAAATACGGTATAGATGAATGTGTGGTAAAGTCGCATGGAATAGAAACAGGTGGAAAAACTTTTGCATAGTCTGTGAATAAAAATATAAGAAAATATGAGCGAAAGACAATCCCTACCAATCTTATATGGTTAAAAAGGCACCGTAAATCACATTAAATCGATTTAAGAAAGCGCATCTATAAAAATCACTAAAAAGTCTATTTTGTCTAGAATCATAGTGTGGAAGCTGCGCATTTTATAAAATATAAGATTTACATTGAAATAAGATACTCAGATTAATAGCAGTATGAAATTAGAATAAAATATGTAACAAGAATATCTTACAGGTCATGGATGGATATGCTAAATAAGTATAAAATCCAGCTGCAGCACTCCAATCAAAATCATCAAGACACTAACAATTGACCATTAGAGTTTAGAATATATTCCGTTTTTTAGTAAAATTAATATCTAAAGTTATTTCTGCAACTGATTAATATGATTGACTTGACTATATCGAAAACAAAATCATTTAGTTAATTATTAGATATCAATCTACCAATTAGAGTAAAGAAAAAAGATATTAATAACAGAAGGAAGGAATACTATAATAATTTACTCTTGAGCATAATCGTGAAAACAATGTTCTATAGTCGTCTTGGATCCTTCGGCACAAGTAGACGTATGACAACAGGCATTGTTAGTACTGGTGTTTGAATCGGAAGGTTTGCATTTACACCAATTTTCTTGATTCCATTGATTAGATGTGGGTAAGCCAGAGGTTGGAAAGGTGTGCTCGGCGTCAGGTACGTGAATCGCGAATTCCACGTTGTCAATAGCCCCACAACTTGAAGTCATAGTCTGAGACTGTAAAGTATAACCAGAACGACTTTTTAACCAAATTAAAATGAGATGAGTAGCCTAGAC